TTATTACGTTACAACTTGTTTAATTATTTGCATTTTATTAGTCAAAAATCAAACGAATATAGAAAGAGAAAATGAAGAACCAAAGGTTTTAATTGTCAGTTTGTCCCAAGTTTCCAAGTTTATCGCAAGTAACTTCAACACCTTAAAAATATACTGCGTTTCGAAAAAATATCTAAAAAATCAGCTATAAAAACGAAACCAAAAAAAAATACTACGGTCTTCACAAGGGGCAATTATTGATAAGCTAGAATTGAAATTTTAAATTGCTTGACACCTGCAAGCACTGGAAACACGTTTAACTTGATAAGCATAGTTCTACGGAAAATGCGATTAATGCTTCCAGTACCTTTACTTAGTAACTTCACTAAAAAAAAATTAACTTTTCGAGACCCGAGAACAAATTTCGACAACTTACGCATATTTCATTTATTTATTCATTTTATTTATTCACACATGAAATTCAGCGAAAATAAATAAACAGCCGAATTCAATTGACTCTTAGAAGTAAATCGTATTCGAATTATTATTAAAAAGTACATAAAGAGAAGTGAAGAAAGACAAAAGAAATGACAAATATACAAAAGGAATGAAATTCATATGTAAATAAATAAAAGAGAGAGAAGAAAGAAAAGGAGGAAAAAAAGCATGTACTTAGCTAGCACAGAGGCTTACACGCAACTGGTAGACATCGGAGTTGTGAGTAAACCTTTAAGTCGTTGCAAGCATGCAAAAGCTTAGCAACCGGTTATAGTAAACAAATTTAATTAATTTTCGAATGATACTAAGGTGTTAAGATTACAAATTAATCTAAGTACGACATAGACAAATCGCTCACATTAAGATGACCTGACTTGATAGAATATAAAGAATCCGATGTTGGGATTAAGTAATAGATAACATTTAGATTCTTGCAAAGGACTCTGAACAGATTGAAAAACTCGTAATTATATCTAGCTTTACGAAGATAACGTTCCTAGAGAAACGAGTCGAGACATTATGGTTTATCTCATCAAGTAATGTCGCCGAATCGATAACACAATTTACTAATTTAGTTAGGGAGGAAACACCAAGAATAAATCTATGTTGCTCAAGTGAGGGTATGGCTAACAGATGCAAATCTAGTTTCATGAAGAGGCAAAGAGATAAGGAGGTGACAATCTATCGTACATCGTGTCATTCATTTATATCAAATGTTTTTGTCCATATATTATTCGGTCCTTGCCATTACTTGTAGAAAGACAATATCATTTAATTGTTGTCCACGGGATACCTTACTGTAATGTACATCTTTTCGAGATAGTTTTCGATAGTTCGGGCAATGGCTTCGTCGCTTTCAGAATATCAAGAGCTTCAAGCTAGTTCGCATAAATTTGATCGCTTGCGTAATCCCATGAAAGACGTCCATCGTACAATCTTGGTGGCTAATTCATGTCATCAAAGCACGAAATTAAACGTCCGGGAAATATTCGGCGCAAAAATGCGGTCGCCATTGAAGCCACATACCGTCCAAGTCGATATCATCTAATTTATGCCAGAAGATATCAGCAGTTATGTTTCTGCCGCATTCTCGCTTGACGAAAGCTACGATATCAGTTTCATTTCTAAAAATGGCATTTTCAACTCACAAACTACACCCAAAGGTTTGTTTTAAAAACCCCTTTGCAAGAAGATAATTGTTTAGGGGTTGTCATCTATACGTGACTCATGGCGATGAGATAAGAAAAAATTGAGAAAGAGACACGAAGAGATAGGGAGTGGTCGCAGGCTAGTGGATGCGTGCCCAATAGATAAGTGTTGGGCCTTTACCGACTGAACACTCACTAGAGCCAGACAGTTCACCGCACTAAGATTTGAATCCGTGTACGTCGACTTAATAATCGCGGAGGCGTCCTCTTACTTCATATTACCAGCTGCGTTATGAACGCATTATGAAGTTCAAAAGAAATCCAAAGCATTTCAGGTTGAAAAACCAGTAAGCTATAGGAAGTTTGGCTTGGAAAGCCAGGCTTTACTGGTATAATCCATTAAATTTTAAATTCTGGCGCTCTTTCGTTGAGTGCTTCGGAGTGCTCTCCATGATCCTAATTCTATCAGGTGCCGTGTTAAAAGCTTTTTCTCTCTGCAAAATTAAAAATTCCGGTTGAAAGTCAGTTATGACTGGTGGCATAAACGCTTTAACATCTTTGACTCGGTTGTGGTTAACGGTCCCAACAGGGGACCTTGATAAGCATTGCTTATAGACTGAAGTCTACATCAGCTATGGATGGATAATGAGATTAAATGAGTTAAAATTTTTTAATATACTGTACGACGTTAAGCACTTGATTAAAATCCAATACCATGGCTAGCAAAGCTATCCAATGTAAAGCATGACGCCTTTGCCAAAAGAAATATTATATATAAAATAAAATCAAGATAATCAAAACGACATGTACACCTGAGAACATAATATTAATTAATAATAATACAATAATAATAACAATGTATGGATAACCTTCTGCTCTAAATGGTTGGACAACTTCCTACATAATTATTTAAAAAAAAAAAAATTTTAATTTTAAAAAACAATATAAACCATAGAAAAAATTCTTTTTAGCAGAGAGCATAGAGCATAAAAATGCTTTCAATTTCAAATATTTGAAAAAAGAAACAAATATAATAATCAAGTATTATTTAAAGCACTGAGAAAAAGGAAAGAAAATATAAACTAAGCGAAAGAGAGCGCAACATACTAACTAAGAGCCATAACGACATAAATGCATATCACGGCGACCACAGTTTAAGCAAGAGAGTCAAGTAACGAGACATCATGAAAACAAAAAAATAAATATATATAAAATATAAAACAAACTAAAAGTAAAAAAACAAAACAAAACAAAAAATACTTTTTTATGCTTTTTTACGCAAAATCCCTTCAGAGAGTTTAATGCATTTAGCACGAAAAAAAAAAAAAAAATGAAGAAAAAAAACAAAAAGAAATGTTTACAAAAACAAGTTGTTGTTACTTTGGTAATGTATTTTGGCCATTGACGTCATCATTGGCGAAAAAACAAGTTTTTTTTTCTTTTCTTGCTGTTCTTTTCATCCATCTCGCTAAAGAGCTTTATAAACCTGGCAGTTGACTTTATTGAAAAAACTAACTAACTAACAAACTGAATAAGCGAGCGAATGAATGTATGTGGAGCCATTAAAATATATTGAAGTGGAAGTGTGTGTGTATTTTGTATTTGTTTTTATATATGCGTATGTGTATGTCTTTTTGAGCTTATTTTTCAGTTTAAATTATTATTTGTTGATGTAATTGTTTTACTTAGAGGTAGAGTTTGTAAATACATTCGCCTGAGGATGATACGAAATAACTGAAGCTCTTAACGTTTATATGTATTGCAGTTTAAATGCGAACCGAATGAAATAAAGATTTAGACGTGAAAAAATATATAAAAAAATATTAAATAAAACATGAAAAAAACATTTTTTTATTATTATTATTATTATTATCTTTGTTAAGGGACCATTTTAGCAAACGATTCCTCTTATGGCATGAATGGCTTATTGCACTATTTAAAAAAGTATCAAGAGTTTTTCCAATTTGCGTTTAAGAAAGATGACCGACTTCCTTGCCATGACTGGTTTCATTCACAAAGGAAATCGTAGGGCTTTTCGTTAGTCTTAATCTTTTGCAATTCCCTCCTTGCACCGAGACACTTGTCGAGACATTTGTTTTGAATCATTTGTTGAAGAAGTCTAATGATATCAATTAAGAATAAATAGCCAGAAAATCTTGATTGACTATTACGTGCGGACTGACATTCCTGCCGATGGCAAGTTCGTCTTGTTAAGAAGATTTCTTTTCTCATCATTAAAAGTGTCGTTATGATGAATCTGAAAATAAGAGCCATGCGATGAACTTGTTTCTGTTGGCATTTTCCCACGGTTTGGAGGTTCAGGATCTCTCGAAAAGTATGTTCCATCCTTCAAGGCGCTGTATGTGCGTTTTCATAATCCGTGTGCCATCGGGCACTGTGGGATAAGCTTACGCACATACCCACGTTCAATATTTAGAGACAACTGCTCTTCTTTGAGAAATGCCTTTCACAGTTTGTCACATTGAATGTAGTTACCCCAAAATTCAACTTGAGGTGTTGAGTAGGCCTCACTTTCTTCAATGAAGAGCGCATTGACATAGTCTCACTCGGGTAGAAGTTCTTAAATAACAGGATTTGTCCTGCTCACTAAGATGCGAGGAGTAAGACAACATTCTGCTATACCATCTGGCAACGCGTAAAGAAGCTTATTCAGGTATTTGCAATAGACTTTAGAAGAAGTTTAGAGGATGACCTTACTTTGTTTTGTTTCAGTTTTTTTAAGAAATACGCATTCTCTGTTAAGCATTGTGGCGTTGCCTTCACTAAATTCAAGAATTTCGCTAAATGAAGCAAACCAACCCCGACCTCGCCGCTGAGTTAAATAATATATATATCGGATCAACTTTGTGTACGAATTTAAGATCTGTGTATTAATTTTTTAATTTTAGAACTTAAATTGCCAAAAAGCAAGTTTGAGTCCTTGCACAAATACCTTTGCGTAAAATGTCATAACATTCTCCTCATTTTCTTTCTCTCCTAGTAGCTATTGCCGCGAAATTATTGTAAAAAGTTTATGAAAAGCATTAAATTTTTCAGTCATCAGCGCAATTATAAAAAGCGAAAGGTGGTCCTAGCTTAGGTACAATCACGTGCCTGCACGTGATTTTTGCACTTAAATGAATTTGAAAAAAATGTCAAAATGCTTTTAAAGCATGGAAGACATGTTCCATGAGTAAATGCTTTCTTACTTTCGCTAGAAGAATTATAAAGAGCATCTATCACGACATCATACAATATAAGTTCAATGTATATATGTAGGATAGAACAAAGCCACACATCCTTTCAAAGATAGTCTTTATAAAAATCTAAGATTAATAATTAACTTAATTAATTTAATTATAATTTTCTTTCAAGAGAGTTTTACTGAAGATAAATAGAATGTTTTCCTTGAGGAAATTAAACTTTAAAGTGTTAAATAAAAAGCGGTAAACCATAAAAGCAAATTCGTAGTGTATGTAAGTGTTTACGTTTAGCTATACGAGCGCACTTAAGCGTTGTGTACTTGCCATGGTTGGCACCATGGATATCAAAGATATAAAAGGCGCTAAAATTACACATACCGGTCTACTGAAGCACAATGTCGATGGCACAACCGAAACACAAAAGATCACACATGCCGGCCTAGTGGCACGTAGTCCAGAGGGCACTGCTGCCAAAGGTATGAATATACGCGGCAACGAAGATTTATGGGTTGAAATACAAGCCAACACATTTCGCAATTGGGTTAATGAGCATCTACGTGGCACCGGTATGCAGGTAAGTTCAATTTATATTATGTATGTCTATATCTATACATCCATATATATATATATATATAGATCTAAAAAAGATAATCAAATTACTTGGAAATTAGAGATTTACTTAGTAAGGTAAACACATAGAATGCCAGCACAATATGTGTTTATGCGTACGTGTGTTTACTTATATTGTTTAAAAAGTAATCAAGCGTTTTATAACCCAACCCAACCTTTCCCCTTTTACATGAATACATTACTCATCTGTGTGTGTGCTGTTAATTATCTGAAATGTTTTTATAATTTTTTATTTTTGTTTTTGCTTTTTTTTTTTTTTTTATTGCATTTAAATTGCGCCGACATTGTTGTCGCAACTTGTTGTAGCTGTCATTTGATGAAATGAAATGCAATTCTTTTTTTTTTTTTCTCCTCTTTTTTACATATAATTTATTTCAAATAACAAATATATACGAGTTTAGAATATCATGAAAAATGCTTCATTAAATTTCTATTTTATAAAATATTTCAATTACATAAAATCTAGAAAAAAAAACCAAAAAAAAAAAAGAATAGTTTCAATTACATTTAATGTTTGGAATTTTAATAATAACATCGATCATTGAAGCATGTAGATGTAGAGGTTTTTTTTGTTTTTACTTTTTTTTGTTTTGCTTTACAATATCTATTCGCATAACATAAACACATTTTTAATTCAGTGTCACATCGGTGAATCTTTCAGAAGTCCATACGTCCGCTCCCTGAAGATCTATAGCTTATCTATATATCATGAGTTTTCAATCACTCTGTGAAAAGCATAAGTCCTGGAAGAGCTTGAAAGATATTATTAAGAAAGCAATAACACCCAATAGTTCGTAGGATGGTCGTACTGATGGCGCCTCTATTAACGAATACCGAAACTCAAACGAAACATTTGAAAGTTTTGTTACTTTCCTGCAATTAATTTACAGTTGTCTTAGTGACGCCAACACAAGTAAACTAATGATCGAAATTTCATGAAATTTTGACACATTTCGTTTGAGGTACTATCCAACAATTCGTATGGATTCGCCAATAGTCATTCTAAATTTGTATTTCGTTCTACGAATGGCCATCCAACAAAGCTGTGTCGATGCATGGACCCGTCATCTATTGTTCCATCCGTTTATAACTTAGTCTATCCATCTGACTGATGTTTTCTTGTTTTTCTATTCATAAGTCTGTCTGCTATAAATGTTTTCTCTTTGCCATCTATGCATCCCTTTATCCATCCACTACACCAATTCCTCTGCCATTCCTTCCACAGGTGGATCAATGTAAACGTTGTTCTCTCCCCTTATTCATCTCTCTAACTATTTATCCTTTCAGCTTTCTATTGTCTTGTCTCCTCGTCTGCCTATCCCTCCGTCGGCCCAGTTTCCTACTGATTCGCCTGCATCCTCCATGCTTATCCCACTATCACTTCCATCCCAATGCCATACTTCATTCCTCCCTTCGGCCAAGTATTCATCTGAGTGCGTACATGTTAATGCGTCATTTCTATCTCCTTATACTTCCATGTGTATTGTCTCTAACCATCCTTTTATTCACCTGTGCGTTCGTTACCTTGTACGTTTTTCTCCTCTCTTACATTGACCCTCTAATTGTGCGTTCTACCTCCGTCTCTCTGCTATTATAACTGTCGAATTTCTTACAGTATTTTCCAAAAATTTTGATCAAGTAAATAAAATTGATCCTATTCTATTCCCAGTTTTAATTGGAAGCTGGTGTACCTGACTTTGAAATAACTAAAACATTTAAAGTGAACTGATTTCATTGATTGTCATAGTGGCTGTGTGCACAATGGGTAAATGAGCACTCACTATAAATGCGACTAAAGTGAACTCTCTCGCACTGAGATTTGAACCCGCAAACATGGACTTGCTAGTGGCGGATTCTTGTCTACCCGGTTACCCATGCATATATGAGCTAGCATATGGTCTTAAAACACTCTACGCCCATTCTTTGCTGTCAGCTGCTGCTTTCTTTTGTCCGTGCTCGAACGTTTATTCCCATCAATAATTGACGTTTTATATAGCAAATATCGACGCGAAATTTCTAAAAAAGGATATTTTCACAAAGTATCTATCGAACCCTCTTGATTACTATTTATGGAAAAAGCTTTCAATGAAAGGAATGAATATCAAAGATTTGTTTCAACCCAAACATAACCTTCTCATGAGTCGTTTATACAGTGAATCAACATATAAAATAACAGAAAATTAAACAGAGTCCTTGCATGTCCGGCAATTGCTTATTGTATTTGTGCTTTTTAATAAAACAAACAAAAAAAAAATATTTTCGAAATTAACGAAAATATTTACATTTTAAATTACTTTTTTTTTGGATTGCTGTGCCTTTTTGTTTCTTAACAAAAGTTGATTATTTGCTACTGTAAATATTATGCGGTCAAGTGAAGAGGCAAACTTCGTCGACAACGAGTTACATTAGGTTCGACGAGTGAATTGTAACATTGCATTGCCATATGTGCAGTGCACTAAACGAAACGAACTCGTTTCGAATGGAATTTAAATCAATGCAAATTTAAATCATTTGGCATCAATTTATTGTCTCAAATTCGACCTGAGATCAATTGCCTATCTTCAATTCCAATAATACGCAATAGTCCAGCTAAATTGAACTCGTTCACTTGCAGAACATCTTTGTTGAAAATTTCTCTTTAAATGATAGATAGTCAGCTTTAAAAGCAAACTATCGCATATTGATAAAATCTTTGTACATTTAAAGCACGTTAGTCTTAATTGAATGCGTTTTCTCTTGACAAAATTCACCACAAAAATATTTAATGACCATTCAGTAAGAACTATGGAAATTCATATATCGTTAAAATGAGAATTAAACGAAAAATTCCCCTTAAACACTCTATACTTCCACTCGTAAAGCTTTCAATTTATTTTGAAATGTTAGATGATGATTTGTCTCCGCCTTCCTTTCAGACCTATCTGGATCCATTTTGCCTCTCAAGTGTTTGATAGTAATTTGTCTTTCCCCTCATATCGTGGGTATCTTGCTCCTTTGTAGCTTTGGGGACCTCTTCTCTCTTTTATGCCCTCTCTTCGCCCATTTTGGCCTTGAAATGATTGATGATGATATATCTCTACCTTTCTTTCAGGCCTATTTTGGCCCATTTTGACCATTTTCAAGTGTTTGATAGCAATTTGTCTTTCCCCCTTTGTCATGGCTGTCTTGTTCCCTCCGAGCATTGAAGGGCGTTTGCCTCTCCTTTCTTTTCTGGCCTCTCTTGATTCATTTTGGCCTTGAAGTGTTCGATAATGATTTGTCTTCGCCCTCATATCCTGACTATCTTGGTCTATGTTAGCCTTGAAGTTTTTGATGATAGTTTATCTCTCCTTTCAAGGCCGCTCTTGATTCATTTTAGAGCTAATAATGATTAGTCTTTACCTCCATTTCAAGCTTATCTTGGTCCATCTTGGTCTTGAAGTGTTTGATGATGATTTGTCTTTCTCCTCATATCATGGCTATCATGTTTTATCTTAACCTTCATCCATTTTAGCCTTTATGATAAACCGTGTCTCTCTCTCTTCATTTCAGGCTTATTTTGATTAGTCGCAGCTGGCCTTAATATTAAGCATTTCGCTGCATTCGATAATAGATACTTTAAATATCCGACTCGAATAGAAAATTTGAATCAATACTTGCTCTATATCCGTTGATTCGTAGATTTAACCGTTCGTCCTGATGATGATGTGGGCAATAAAATCCGGACTTTGGTTTTTCCTTGCCTCTATACTTCTTCCCTTCTATCTAAAAAACGATTTAACTTAAGCTTAAATAGCGTTGATGCTCGTTGATGTTACAAACGAAAAGATAACATCAGTTTGCCTTTATTACTCGGTAGAGTGAATTTAAAATTTTATCGATATTTACTAATTTAATAAAGTATTTCAATAGATGCCTGATTATATATCGGAAAGCAAACGAATTATTTCTACTGTGCAGCTGCTTGTTGTACGCTTTAAATAGATTTTTGTTCATTTGCCGGAACATATTAAGCAAAACCTATGAAAAAAAAAAAAAAAAACTAGAAAAAATAAAGAGAAAGAAAGAAAAAAAGAATTTTTTTTCCTTTTGTTTGTTTCTTTCTTTATTGTATAATTTACGTAATTGCATTTTTCCCGCACCACACGTGCATGCATACGTACCGCATAAATTGCAAATCAAATCGATTCGAATGCATGTTTCTTTCCCAAACACAGAGCCTACGTTCTGGTTTTTCTTTTCTTGTTTTTTTTTTTTTTTTTATGTATGAGTTCAACATAAGAAAAAAAATATAATTTACAAAAATTGAAAGTGGGCAAAGTTGGGTAAATTTATGCGCAACCACAAATAAAAGAAGTAAGCAAAACACACAACTATAATAATAAAAAAAAAAAACAACAACAACAACAATTAGGCCAACAACAACAAGAATAACAGCAAGAACATTACTGAAAAGAAACTGAAAATACTTATGAACCGGAAAATCAAATCAAAGTGGGCTGTTTTAAGGTTTTTCTAACTAAATTTGCATACACTCATACACATGTATGAGTGATGAACAAAGCAAATAGCCAGTGCTGTCCAAACGGTTTTGCCTTCTAAGTTAAAATAAAATAAAAAAAGGAAATAAATAAAAATAATGAATCTATTAAAAATAATATATGCGGCAATAAATATAAATAATTTCAAGTAATTACTGCCGCGAGATTCCCGCGAAGATTTCTTAGTTTCTTCCCTTCTTTTGTAAAACTCATTCAATGAGAGATTCGTGTTAGTCTTCAGAGACTGTTGGTGTGTATATTAAATTCTTACTGAAAAGCTTCATAATTTGATCACAACCATGTATACCCTACAAGCTCATGTTTCAAGGTATATTTGCACACTTTTTTCATTTTAAATATCGTTTTGTAATTTCCTTGAAACGCGTCTAACCGTCCTTTAAAAGTTCAAAACTCGCACGTCATG